GACTCTTCGAGTGCTAAGGCTTTGGCAAGAACTGCTATTCAATCATTCAGAACAAAAGCTTGTCATTTTCTTTTTACGAAGAAATAAGATGTTCTTAAGAATATATTTGAGAACTACTTTTGAATTTTTTAAAAATTGCATTTAGGAATATTCTGACAAATTTAGTTTAGGACATTTCTTAACTTCTTTCTTAAAAAGATTTTTGTGAATCCGACTCCTGATCTGTATTTAAGTCCAATTCAAAAAATCAGATCCGCTCAGCATTCCATAGTAAATGCCACATGTGAGTGTAAAGAGTGAATCTGGATATTCTGCAGCACAAATGTTGAATAAAAATCCATGAAATCTAATTTGACTTGAATCAAACATCAGGTTTTTTATTCACATATTTATGTGCTTTGAATCACATTTGTCCAAAATGTTTAAAATAGGAGATAACTAAACAGAAGCGAGTCGAATACGGCAAAAGATAGGCCTGTCTGAACAAAGCCTAAGACAGGCACTAAAACATTTAAAAAGTAACAAACAAGATGTTTAGGCTAATTGTTAGGCTGGTTTGGCAGATGGTTCCTCCTTAGTCTCTCGTCCCATATTCAGTCTCTGGGCACCTGTAAAATCTACAGCTACACAAGTGCCACGTATCACCCACGATCCCTAGAGAGCCATCGTACCTCTACTAGCTCCTTCACAGGTTCCCCAGAGGAGAGGTTAGGAGAGCCTGCAGAAGAGGATTGATTAGATTAGCACAAGATGGGTGCATACCAGGGGGTCGCAACACAACATACATGAGTAGGAGTTCACATGTGTGAGTAAGTGTTATATACACACTGTTCAATGACTCTGTGTTGCTGATTGCAGACACTGTCTTCAGAGCAGACTTGAGGGGGATCTGGGAGTTAGTCAGTGTGGGGCTGTAGGAGGACTCTTCAGTGGAGATCTGGAGAAAAACAGTCTGTTAGATCCACTTATAAGTAAGTTTGATTACTAACATAGGCTTCATGTACTCCCATCTGTATTACTGAACTAAGAGATGACAGCCTGCCGGGACGGAATTCTTTGGGATGAAACAGAAAACATGAAAAAAAAATCCCCTGCAAACTGCGACACAGCGATCTGACAATCCTTTATACTTCTTGAGGAATACAGACAAATGGGAAACACAGACTCCAAAAATAATGTCAGACTAACATTGAACATAATTAAAGAAATATAGTATAGGGACCAATTCTCACTATTTACTAGTTGCTTATTAGCATGCATATTAATAGCATATTGGCTGTTTATTAGTACTTATAAAGCACATATTAATGTCTTATTCGGCATGACCATATTCTACATCCTTAATCTTACCCAATCCCTAAAATTAACAACTACCTTACTATCAATAAGCAGTAATAATTAGAAGTTTATTGAGGCAAAAGTCGTAGTTAATAGTTAGTTAATAGTGAGAACTGGACCTTAAAATAAAGTGTGACCAAAATTATTTATTACATTCTCTGTGTTGTTCCAAGCCCATTTGCCGTTTTCAGCCGAACACGGGAGAAGAAATGTTTATGCAGTTCGTCTTGTACTACGAAAGCTCATAATGATCAATGAACACTATAAAAGAACCATAAAAGGAGTCCATGTGCCTCATTTGTTATATTTCAAGTCTTCTGAAGCCATACTACACAGACTGAAATTTAGGTCCTTAATTATGGAAAATGTGCCTCTTCGCTGCAGCTCTCAAATCTCATGCTTCATCTTGCATGTTCAGTTGCTTTCAGAGGTGCAGGATATATCAGTGCCACACTGGTTTGATATTTTTGGATTTACTGCATTGTTGGATATTTAATTGTTCATACTCACTTTGCTTATTTTAACATTTAAATTACCTATGCCGTCAATTAACACTCACTTAATCTTTAAAAATACTAATAATTTAATAACACTTTTTCGAGTAATCTTTAGCAAATATCTAAATGAATATCCATTTCTCATGTTGTCAGGGATTCATCACAGTCACTGCAGTCACCAGCCCGGATAAACACCCGATCACAGTCACCTGAGTTCTGATCACCCGCACCTGCTGTCACCAATCAAGCCACACTACAAATACACACACATCACAGTCACTCACTGTCCGGTCTACCGTTCACTACTACGAACTACTCTGGACTCTCTCTCTGCCAAATTCTCCTAGAACGGATTACCTGCTGTTCCTCC